ATATAGTGTAGCGTTGAGTAGGTTTCCCAGTAATAAGTGCTCTTCACTGCTTGGACCATGCCCTTGGATGACAAGAACCCATCAGCTGACAAGGCCCCCATAGTGTGCCCTAGAGAGCATACCCACACGAATGATCTTGCCATCCCGCGAATTCAAAGGTTTCCATGTAACATTTTTTTGATTGCAAGGGATCCGTTACACATACGCGGTAATTTGGTATCTTTGCTGCAGGAGATGAAGGAAAGTGCCTCGACGAGGTCAATGCTGCTCGCGTGGCAGCTGGCCTCGGCGAACTCACAAAATCAGTTGAATCAACACACAGGCTGCCTAAAGAAGGCAGCCCTGAAGGAGACGCAAATGAATGGGCCTGGAAACCCGTGTGCGAAGCCTTGATTCCAGTAGGTCGTTTACATCTCTAACTGCCCTTCAAAGGGAACTTACTGTTTGCCGGTGTTTGTCTATTCTCCTGCTGCCTGCAGACCAAGACAAAATCAAGAAGTGCCAGAAATTCTGATGTGACTAAGTTCCAGAGCGGCACATACGCATATCTTCCGATTGACGATCCCGATTCCGTTGACTGCAAGGCCGTCGTGGATAAGTGGAAGGACGCCTACAGCAACTTTGATGGATTGCCTCCGGCTAACAAGAAAGACGAGCCGCTTTACGACAATCAGGAGAACGTGTCTTTCGTGGCCCTGTACAACCCTACAGAGAAAGCTACTGCAGATTGCCGTGTCGTCACCTGCACTAAAAAGACGCCTGCAGCGGCCGGTTTCAAAGCAGCAAGAACCGATGGGTCAACAACGGAAACGGGCTCCGCTTTGATTTGCATGACCGTGCCCGATGTGCTTCTCGAGGAAGGAGGAAAGGCCCCTTTCACGTGAGTTCTTTCACTCTCCGCGTCTTCCCGCTTTCCTTGTATTCTCTTTCCAGATAGGATTGTTTTTGTTTCTCGGTGTGTGTTCTGCAGAGAGGAGCAGTGGGAACAGATCGTGACCGCTCTCGAAGGCTCTGCCTCGGCTGTTGCACCCGGTGTGGTCGGTTTTGCATTGGCGATCGTTGGCCTCACCATGCTGTGAAACGACAGCTTTTTAAGAGAGGGATGATCCAAGAGGCTTTTATTCTAGGGCTTTGGGCTTAAGGAGTTTCGCTACCTGCTGAGGTGTAGAATCCCGCGGATCACGTAGTGCACACTCGATGCAGATGAGAAACTCTCGGGTGAGGAGAGCGTCAGGGAAGAGGTGACTTCTGGCGGACCACTTAACTAGCGCAAAATAGTGGTAAAGGCCCGATTATACAGTGCTCGATGGGCTTTTTCGTGTACAGAGACAAATTATGTTTTTGCCTCTTCCTCTGCTCTGCCGGTGGAGCCGCTGGGTTCCACCATCAGGGCAGACGTGGCTGGGCGGCGAACGGTTCAGCTCGCAAGTAATCCTTGGCGGCTGTAGAGTGAATGTCCGTCGAATTCAACTCAAACTCAGGTATTTAGAGAGTTTGGGCGTACATCTTTTATGGCGATTCAACCGAGGTAGTCCTGTTACCATGGGAGAAACTTGTGTCGCTGACCCTGGCGATATATTGCTGCCTCTAAATTTCTTTCCCGTGTCGCGAAACTGTGAGCCCCGCTGAACTGACAACAGGATTGTAGTGTCTTTTCCTTTAGCTGTTGCAAAAGCATGGGCTAGTCTAAAAACTACGCGAGTCTCTGAAAGCAAGCTGATACAATGGCTTTTCACAGGTGTCTACAAAAGCATTTGGGACAACGACGCAGCAAGTGACTAATGT